AGTGTCTCTCAGCTGAATCATACAGGAGGCGCATAGGGCCAGAGCACCTCCGGTCGAATAGTAGCACAGGATCATGCAATGCTTGGTACGCCCGGTCAACGCACGGAGTTCCGCCTGCGACACGTATCTCTCCCTGTGCAACGTTAGATCTTCGCTCTGATCACTAGCGACACCCGTATCGGACGACAACGTGCCTTCCGATTCATCCTCCACATCAACTTCCACGTCTTCGCGCACTCTATTCGCACGATGAGCCATTTGACACACTCTTTGACCGATTCATTAGACTTCCGAGGCACCTTCTGTGACACCGCGCGCTTTGAATGACCTCTTATACCTCTGGCCGCTTCTTTGTCTAAATCACTTGTCGTCGCATTTTCGTTGAGCCTATAAACAGCAGCCGCAAATCGGCGCTTCTTTCAACAACCTCCTCTTCCCCTTATTATTATTATCTAACGGTGTCACGTTGCAAAAGGACCGTCGATGTATACGTATATACACGGAAGTTGGTCTCGACTCGTCATTCGCTAGACTGACAAGTCTCAGTTCGACATTCTGCGAACCGACATGTACTGAACCAAGTGGTCGCCGTCACCGTCGTCGCATTTTCGTTGAGCCTATAAACAGCAGCCGCATATCGGCGCTTCTTTCTACAACCTCCTCTTCCCCTTATTATTATCTAACGGTGTCACGTAGCAAAAGGACCGTCGATGTATACGTATATACACGGGAGTTGGTCTCGATTCGTCATTTTGCTAGAGCGACAAGTCTCAGTTCGGCATTCTGCGAACCGACATGTACCGAACCAAGTGGTCGCCGTCGCCGTCGTCGTCGTCGTCGTTGTCGACGACGTCGTCGCAACCACCGTCACCATCCCCGTTGGTGCCGCCCGATGACGAAGACACGATCGCGCTGAGCAACCTTATGCAGAGGTGCATTTTACGAGTAAGTATAACTAATCTAGAGACTATCTGTCTAGAGATACCTTTTTTATTGTTTTATTCATCTGTCATTAGGATCCCTCAGTGTTTTGCTGCGCGAACATCAGCGGTGCCGCGAGCAGCGGCGCCGCGAGTAGCGACCCTGAACGCAGAACCATCAAACGTCGCATCGCGAGACGACGCTGTATTCGAGGAGGCTTCTACGTGCCTCCTTTTAAACGCAACATTCGAGGAGGCGTCGTACCTTCCCGCAATTTCGAACGCCCCCGCACCTTGAGGCGAAGGGGCAGGAGGAACGGAAGGCACCACAGGCAATTCCCTACGAAATCGAGGGGACGCCATTCACCCCGGCATTCGCATCCCCCCGGAAAGCGTTATTCGCGACGATCCCCCAGGCGTTCGAGGG